AGATTTAGTGGTATCAGAGCTTAGGTTAAATTAGATATCTGGAGATTTAGTGGTATAAGAGCTTAGGTTAAATTAGATATCTGGAGATTTTGTGGTATCAGAGCTTAGGTTGAAATTAAGAGCTTGGTTTAAATTAAGAGTTTAGAATTAAATTAAGTACCTCCAGATTGAGTGGCATCAAAGCAGATTGAGTGATATCCGAGCCTAGGTTTAATTGAATACCTAGGATTTGTTTTGGACTTGGCTAGCCAATGGATTGTAGAATCGTGGTGAGATGAGTGATGGGGTTATATAAGGGACAATTCTAATTCATGTTGCCTGAATTGTCTCATCCATTTCGATGAGATGGTGATCTGATTGTTCTTGTTTCTTGCCTTCATACTCTGTGTGAAGTTGTGAAACTAATCTTTCCCGTTATGTCCTGAAGACCTTGTTTTGAAACTTGGTCATTTTCTGATAGTCCGCACTTGTTTAGGCTTGTTACATGAATAGAATTTTTGTGTGCTCTTTTGCCACAATTGGAAAATCTGGGGAGTTGCAGAGACTTTTGTTATTGATCTTGTCAGTCTCTACAGCATAGCTGGTGGAGAATTTGTTTTGTTTGTCACATGACCAGTGGAAGATGGGCAAACCCTCTACTTTGTGAGAGATTCAAGGCTATCTTAGCAAATTTTGTGTGTTTTCTAGATGCGTTTTAGGAGCTGGATAACTTGGTAATTTCGCTGCTCCTTATTTTCTGTAAATCTTATAGTGAAGTTTCACCTTTTCTATTTGGAACTTCGTGGTCTTTTCATGTGGCTCATTTTTCTATATTGGTTAATCAAAAGCAGTGATCATTCAATTGAAATTGTCGTTTTTTGTGAAGATTGGCAAGCTGTTATAAAGTTAAACTCCTTATTATTGCCAATCTCTACATTCTTGATACCTGGAAACTGCTTGCAACTCTTGAAATCCATCTTGAATTTTTCTTGAGATTGCTTTGTAATTGTTCTTGAAACTGAAATCCAAAGGAAATGGATAATGATTATTGGAATCCTCATTATCTTGATACTTGTCTGAAATTAATTATTGCACTGTTCTTGGAATCTGTTTTGAATTGTCCTTGAAAACCATTCTTGTTCTGAAACTGGTTCTTGCTCAAATTCTGTATACTGCTCTTGCTCAATTCCGCATATTCTATTAGTTCTTGTTTCAGTATACCTGTTGATCTTCTTGATCTTCTTGATTTTGATATTTGTTCATATGGACACCTCTTTAGGAGGGGTGACGATTATCAGAAGATACCTATATGAGGTATTCTAAATTTTTGTCTCTTGCAAGTGTTAGTCTCTGTATTCTTGATGTCTTAGCTTGACTTGACTCTGGAATGTATAGGCTAAGCAGATTGTAGTCTCCATGAGCTACGAGGTGAAGGGTTAATCTTTGAAACACTTGATGTCCTAGAGTTTTGTTTCAATTGAAATTGTTCTTGATTCCAGCCATTGTTTTGTTCTGTTAATTAATTCTAGTACTTGAGGTGCTAGATCTTGATCTCCTGATTATATCTGCTCTTGAATTCTTGTTCTCATTGTCATTATTGAAATCTCTTTTGTGGGCTTAATCCTTGAATTCTATTGCTTGTTTCATGGTTAACTCTTGTCTCTCAATTTTGACTGCTTGGTTAAATGTGATCTTGATTCTTGGTGAATGCCGTTTTGTTGTTGAATATTTTTGAGGCATTCTACCTTGCACTCTTGTGTTCCGATATTCTTCCAAGCATTCATATTTTCCATTGATTTATTTTGTTGCAATTCTTGAGATTCTTATATGTCTTTTGATGGGTCTAGCTTTTAACTTTTGTTAATTGCTAAAATTTGTTTCTTGATTCCAGTTGCTTTGTTAAACATGATCTTGGTTTTGGTTAACTTTGTTTTGTGGCAGAATGTATAAGGCATCCATGCACTCGTTCATTCATTTATGATCCATATATCCATTGGATGCTTATCCGTCTTTGATAGAGTTCAAGTTTTGTTGTACTCATCTGTAAATCCATGCCATTCTTTGCCAACTCGTCTTGTGATGGGTTCGTAGCGTAACCCCACAATGGTTCTTTTGTGGCTTTGGCATGAATTATTTTTATTCGTTGTGCTTCCCATATCACCCCAGCCTCTAGTAGCTCATTTCATGGTAAACCCTGTTAAGTAGCTAGTGTCCTGCTTTTAAGATTAGTCGTGATTTGTTATCAGAGTGGCGCAGCGGAAGCGTAGTAGGCCATGTCTGTTCATAGAAAGTGAGTGAGGCATTTGTTTGTCTTGGATTGTGTGAAGCCATTCACCACTTGATATGGTCCTCAATTTGAGTTTTGGGGACAAAACTCCTTTTTAGGAGGGGTGAGTGTAATATCCCAAATTTT